TGCCTGTTGTGTTGGTGCAAGTTTGGAGCAGTGGTGTCAGTCAGAGGTGTGGGTGTTATCTGAAAACCAGCCACCGTGGGAGAAATCAGACAGTTGATGTTTTCCATTTAATCTCCAGCCGCTCTGCTGATGGATTAAAAATGTCATTCACTCACAATGTATTTTTAAATCTCTTTTTAAACAAATAAATAATTACATTCATAAATATGCAAAAGTATATGTATTAGGTAGAAGTATAGGCCTTGAAATTGAAATTCATAATTCTACAATCTGGAGTCACTCCACCCAGATGTAATGACATAATCTCTTATATAACCATCACACCGAGCAATTGTTTTAAGACTTTATATGTCAGTCAGTTCACAAGCAAGCAAAAGTAGGGCAATGTCCTAAGCTAAACTGAGATTAACATTCATTTAGATGATTTTGTCATGTTAAAATAGTTGAACAATAAAGGGAATACACTGTAAATAATCTTGCAGAAATGAAACATCCCACACTTTCTTGACTCAAAATGATTCACTCACTTAAAAGTAGCAGCTTTATCCACCTAGAAGCTTTTTCCTTTAGAAGCAGGTGCACAGTGAACTGAACACTTTCCTTTGTGGCACACTACAACTCGAAATGTTGTCGTAACTTTCATTGTTATTGTGCATTGTTCATCATAAGCTTTCACTCACACTAAAGTGCTTGCAACTAAAAAGCTGGCATTCATCTCAAATCCTCTCCCTTTCCCAACCCACCCAATCTGTCAATAGGAATTGTTTCTCTCTGAGGCAATCCATGCCTTTGGGAAGAAAACACTGAACGGCCAATCACAGCAGAGCTTGTGGGAGGAGCAAAAACTGTGCATACAGCCTCAGCCAATGGCGTAGCCCGGTAGACGTGGTTTGGCTTTAGCCAGCCGCCTCTTTGTGACATCACAGCTGTTGCTCGGGCAGTGAGAGTGCACTAGTCATGGGGACGACCAGCAGTGCGCTCATCCGGGGAGGGGGGCTTTTATGCTATTGAGCCTCCAGGCCCTGCAGAAATCTCAGAAAACAACAATGGAACCTGCCTGAGAAGTGTCCACTCTGCTTTTGAGTGTAAGTGTGTTGAACCCTCTAGTGTGTTTGAGTCTGTGTGTTTTACATGCTCACTGGAGCAGTGAATAGCTGTGGCTATGAAAGAGAAGAACGCTTTTGTTTCTGTCTCTGGTTTCCTTAAAACAGTTGGTCTGAGGTTTAGGAACGGTTTCATGCTTCGGTTAGTATCATGTTCACGCCTTCACTGCATAGTCTGATTTTATCAGGGTTTCAGGAGACCCTCATGAGGAAGAGCAGTTCAAATATATGTTTTGAGGTTGTTTTGGGGTAAAATATAATTTTTTGAGATGTTAAGCTCTAGTTCTGGAAGACTGAATTATGAGTTTGGCATCCCATGGAAGGTTGATGCATGTCAGAAGCAGTTGAGTGAGTTTGAAAGGTGTATACACGTGCCATGCACACAGTGACGTGTGGGAGTGGACTGTGGGATAATTTTGTAAGAGGCTGCATGACACAATTGCTGATTGTTGTTGGCTTCTTTTTTTGAACAATGACACAGTGTTTGGTTTCTCAATCGTCGCTGTATCTGGGTCAGGGTTGCTGACCGCTAGCCTGACCCCTAAGGTCTTGCAAATCTCGTTTTAGAGGAACAGGTGAATTTACATCACTGTTCAGCGTTTAGAGCAAATTGTGTGAGTTGTCAATCATGCATGTGGGTAAATGACAGAACACTCATTTTTTTGTTCATATCTGTTAAATCATAAAAAATAAAAAATAAAAAAAATATATGCAGTTTATACATACAATTGCTTGAATACACTTTTTTTTTATTTCTTCATATCTATCTATCTATCTATCTATCTATCTATCTATCTATCTATCTATCTATCTATCTATCCATCCAGGAGGAGGATTATAGTTAACCTAAACCATAAACAGAGTTCCCTTGCTTGAAATAAAATAATTTTTACTGAAAGAAAATAAAATATTTAAAAAATGTTTAAAGTTCAATCATCATAGCTGAGGCAAACACTTGTCATTTTCATTTACTTTAAATTGATGTACTAAATCACTAAAACTAGAATAAAAATATATACAAAATATATAGACAAATGTAAAAACAAAAAAACATTTCTTGAAAATAAAAAACTTAGCAGTTTGGCTATCATTATAATTTTTTTACTATTATCTAACAAAACTGCTTTATTACTTATTTACTTATATATTTTTTAAATGTTTGCCAATATTTATATTTTAAATAATGTTAAAATGTCTGTCAAATCAAAGTCATGAACCCTGAGTGAAATTATGTCATTCATATGCAGACCCTCTTGACTGATTATAATGATCAAGGTGTGTACTCTCACATGCATGCAAACTAAATGTATTTTTTAATGTACACTGTTATATGTAATTGACTTCAGGAAAGGTTCTGCGCTTATTTACAGATGTGTTTCTCAATTCAGACCAGCAAATCTCATTTATAAATAATGTGCTTTGCAAACATGTTTAGTCACATGATCATGAATTCTGCGTGTCGTGTATATTTGAGCCCTCGTCAGCCCAGATACCTGCTCTGGCTCCTCTTTCTGTGTTGTGCCACAAGAATCTCAGCCATCCGCTGCTGGACGTGACCCTTATTAAGCCTACCCCACTGAGACATACGTCTAAATATAGCCAGCATACATCAACACATCAAATCAGAGCGGGAAAGGGGGTTTGGGGGAGGAGGATTACATTGAGTGGGCAAAGGGAACTGGTGTTTAAAGCTCTCACGTTACCATCACTCATACGTCCATGAGAGCACATGTCAGTCCTGGAGAATTATCAGAGCAGCACTGGAGTAAACTGAGAACAAGACACTCGCTGTCAAAACATGGCAGAGAGCAGAAGAGAGAAACTGATAGAGTGATAATCACTGGCCTGCAAACTAATCAGATGGAGAGACTTTCCTGAATTAAAGGCCTTATGTTATGTTTCTTTTGAATCTGACTTGTAGGGGAGAGTGGGGTAAGATGTGCCACCTTCTTAATATAGTAAATTGTGCTTGATTTTAGATGCCACGTCTAAATCTGAGCCAATAGGATTGCAATGTTAATACATATACAGTGGTGGCCAAAATGATTAGAACACTAGTATTTTCACCAGCTAAAATGGTTTTAAGTCAGTTATTTCTATCTTTTGCTGTAGTGTGTCAGTAAGAAATATTAGTTTACATTTCAAAACATTCATTTTGCCATTAATTGTAATAATTTATAATTTAAGAAAATCTATTTATGACGTTGTTTTTGACAGCATCCTCATTTTACAGCATTTTACACACACATACAGTGGGTACGGAAAGTATTCAGACCCCCTTAAATTTTTCACTCTTTGTTATATTGCAGCCATTTGCTAAAATCATTTAAGTTAATTTTTTTTCCTCATTAATGTATACACAGCACCCCATATTGACAGAAAAACACAGAATTGTTGACATTTTTGCAGATTTATTAAAAAAGAAAAACTGAAATATCACATGGTCCTAAGTATTCAGACCAATTCTGTGTTTTTCTGTCAATATGGGGTGCTGTGTGTACATTAATGAGGAAAAAAAATTAACTTAAATGATTTAAGCAAATGGCTGCAATATAACAGAGTGAAAAAATTAAGGGGGTCTGAATACTTTCCGTACCCACTCTATATACAAATATCATACTAATATAGTTATATTGATATACTCATTATTATTATTTTTGTTATTATTATATTAGTACTGTTTTTTAATGATACATTTTAAAACAAAATATTACACAATTACATATTTGTTATAATATTAATTTTTTTATAATATGTATATATTCTATATCTTTGATCATGTATTATCTTGTACATTATTACATGTATTATTATTTCATAGAACACGAAGTGAGTCAGGCTAGCCCCATTAAAAAAAAAAAATAGAGCATAACATTCCTGATGTGAACATGAATCATATACAGATGACTGTGACAGATACACATGAAAAAGTAAAAATGTTTTTATTTTTTTTTGTGCTGAAAATTGCATTTCCTACATGCCAGATAAAGTTATTTGTCAAAGCAAATATATCCAGATCGAAAAGAAATGCCATATGCATGTTGGTGAATTGTACATCTAAATTATTTGGCTGAATAATTTATTAAAATACCCATGAATTATTAATCAGACCATTTGTTTAAAAAATGGTAGCTGTGGGGTAAAGTGTGTCAGATATGTTGATACATGCTGTGTCAGTGGACTGGATCATAATGATTTTGCTTCCAAATGCAGGAAATACTATTACAAAATGTTAAATAGTTTCAGTACATTTACTATTATGTTTCACTATATAGTGTGCACAGCTAAATGGAATTGTGCTTTAGTTTAATTTAGATTTATCTAATTTATGTTAATTTTTGTTTTTAGTCCTTTGAAAGGACTATGTTCTATGTTTCTATGTTAGACAATTTTCTTTAACATCCTGAAATAGAATTAATCCCGAATTACTAGTTTTACCTCGGTCTCATATCTTCTTCGCCTAGAGGACAACTAAAGTAAAAATTGGCACAGCATGTACCACCACCGTCAGGAGCTAGTAATGGCCGCAGCAGTAGTTCATGTCCTTGTATCAGTACTTATCAGCCCGCTGTTGCTGTGTCTCATCTGGAAAAGTGGCATGAAATTTGACAGCATCTATTTGCCTCCCCAACCCCATAATCCAATTTTCCACGCTCCTCTCTTCTGATGAAATACAGTGTGTTCTTTTGCCTGCAGAATAAGAGTTATTTTCCTATATTAAAGCTACTGGTTTGGTAGCAACTCAGCAGGCGTCACCTGTCGTCTCACTCTCATGTGTTCCTCTTCATATTGGAGGTTGTCTTCTCGTGCCATACTATGAGCTTTTCCATCATTTCAAAGTTAAAATGGTGAAGCATTGTGGGGTTTTTCAGTAACATAGCATCTTCTTTATTTCAGGTTTAGGTGTGTCCTGGCCCCAGGCCCCCTCTGTGGATGTCTGTCACCATGGCGAAGTTTGAGACCGGCCGCACAAGTCCAGTGGTCCGCCAGATAGACAAGCAGTTCCTGGTGTGTAGTATCTGTCTGGACCACTACCACAACCCCAAAGTCCTGCCCTGCCTGCACACCTTCTGCGAAAGGTCTGTGTCTGTCGGCATAATTAAAGTCCCTCATCTATAAAAAATGATTCTAGTCATTTAATTTCTGGTAATTCCTAATTTGATGATGCTGAGTTAAAAAATATCAACAAAAACTTTCCATCATGTACAGTTTTTTTTCTTCACAAAATTCAATACATGTAGAGTTGAAGTCAAAAGTTTACATACACCTGGCAGAATCTGCAAAATGTTAATTATTTTACCAAAATAAGAGGGATCATACAAAATGCATGTTATTTAGTACTGACCTGAATAAGATATTTCACATAAAAGATGTTTACATATAGTCCACAACAGAAATTAATAGTTGAATTTATAAAAATGACCCCGTTCAAAAGTTGATTCTTAATACTGTGTTGTTACCTGAATGATCCACAGCTGTGTTTTTTTGTTTAGTGATAGTTGTTCACAAGTCCCTTGTTTGTCCTAATCAGTTAAACTGCCTGCTGTTCTTAAGAAAAATCCTTCAGGTCCCACAAATCGTTTGGTTTTCCAGCATTGTTGTGTATTTGAACCCTTTCCAACAATGACTGTATGATTTTGAGATCCATCTTTTTACACTGAGGGCAACTGAGGGACTCATATGCAACTATTACAGAAGGTTCAAACGCTCACTAATGCTCCAGAAGGAAAAACAATACATTAAGCCAGGGAGGGAAAACTTTTTTGAATTTGAAGATCAGGGTAAATGTAACTTATTTTGTCTTCTAGGAAACATGTAAGTATCTTCTGAAGGGCAGTACTAAATGAAAATAATATGATATTTAGGCAAAATAAGAAAAATGTACACATCTTCATTCTGTTCAAAGGTTTTGGTAAAATAAAAGGTTCTGCAAAATGAAAACATTTGACTTCAACTGTATGTATCAGCTATAATGCATTTATCAAATAAACAAAGCCATCAGAAGTCAAAAGTTTTGGTTTTAATGACGTATTAACTTATGCAATAAGTTGCAAGGGGATCGAAAATAAAATGTGTAAATCAGGATTAGGCATAAAATAATGTCTTCAGAATCATTAAAAAATGTGAAAATGAGAAGTGAACAAATAAATGTAACCTGGGTCAGAGGAGTATAGGAATCACGTCATGTCTCGTGGCAGGTTTTCTGGTTAATAAAAGGATAATACAAGACAAATAGTTGTCAAAGGCGAAAATGCTACGAAATGTCATATTTTGTAAGAAAGTGTGACTAGAGCAAAACAGGCACTATTTTTGGAATCAGCACCAAAAATTAGGTTAAATTATAATAATATTAATAATTATTAAGAAACAAGTAATGTTGTCATACTATGATGAATATGATGTTTTCATATTCGCGGTGTAGTTATTGGTAGAGAGAGAACACAAAATTATGGAGAGGAGATTGGGTGATTAAGAGAGCCACACTTGAACTTAAATTTCGCACATGGGCACCATGGCTCCAGCCTGAGCATATTAAAATCAATTATCACAGTTGTAATAACATGCGTAATGATTGAAGTATTGATCAGTTGGTAACCTTCTGATAGGATGGCATATGTTTGCTTACTGCTGATATTCCTTGGCATGGATGTTCTGTCTCATCCACAACATTTTCTTCTGCATCAGTGACAGTGTGCATTAGAATCTCTGTGTCCTGCTTATGTGTCTCTTTGGGTGGTTTGTGCTTTCGGTGGGGTTGTATGTCAGCGGAGTGTTTCCACTGTGATTGTTCATGTTGTGACTGAAGTTTCAGCAACACTTGCCCTCCTAGTCCTCTCGTTCTCACTCCTTCACACAGGAGTATATCATTTATGAAATATGAGAGATACACAACCATTCAAATGTTGGAGGTCAGTAAGATTTTCAGATGTTTTTGAAAGAAGTCGCGCAGAGGCTGCATTTATTTGATCAAACCAATGCAGTAAAAACTGTGATATTGTGAAACATTATTACAATTTAAAATAACTTTTCTATTTTAATATATTGTAAAATGTAATTTATTCCTGTGATGGCAAAGCTGAAATTTCAGCATCATTACTCCAGTCTTCAGTGTCACATGATCCTTCAGAAATCATTCTGTTTTGCAAATTTGGTGCTCAAGAAACATTTCTTATAATTATCAATGTTGAAAGCAGCTGCTTAATATTTTTGTGGAAACCGTAATACATTTTTACAGGATTCTTTAATGAATAGAAAGTTCACAAGCACAGCACTTTTATCAAGGAATAGCATTAAAACGGCTTTTAAAAACACACTTCATCATGTAGGCTATATCATCTAAAAACAAAACGAACAAAAATCTCCAGTCTTCAGTGTCACATGATCCTTCAGAAATCATTCTGTTTTGCAAATTTGGTGCTCAAGAAACATTTCTTATAATTATCAATGTTGAAAGCAGCTGCTTAATATTTTTGTGGAAACCGTAATACATTTTTACAGGATTCTTTAATGAATAGAAAGTTCACAAGCACAGCACTTTTATCAAGGAATAGCATTAAAACGGCTTTTAAAAACATACTTCATCATGTAGGCTATATCATCTAAAACCAAAAGGACCTGAGGCGATTAACAATTCCTGCACTTGAAAAAACGCGCTCTGCAGGCACTGAAGTCGCAGGCACGCAGAGATAACGAAAAGCAAGCCAACAGAATTTCGGAAAGGGCCTGGACATCCCGCACCACCACCGAAGTGGGTCTTCGTTAGAGGAATAGAGGGCGCGGACGGGATCGCAGCGGCGGCGGGCTGTAGTGAATGATTGACATTAGCTGGCTTTGGCTAGTCTCTAAGCTAACGCCTACGTGCCTGTATTGAATATGATTACGCATCGCTCCGGTAGAGTTATTGTAAGCCAATTTGACATTACACAGTTTACACAAAACTTGTCCGTTTCCTTCTAGTTCAAAATAATCCCACACCTTACTGGTCTTTCGCGTGGTCACTTTTGAGTTCGCCACAACTGACACGAAGAAAACTCATGCGAGGTCTGAGGTAAAAATGTAGGCTAGGACCTGAGGCGATTAACAATTCCTGCACTTGAAAAAACGCGCTCTGCAGGCACTGAAGTCGCAGGCACGCAGAGATAACGAAAAGCAAGCCAACAGAATTTCGGAAAGGGCCTGGACATCCCGCACCACCACCGAAGTGGGTCTTCGTTAGAGGAATAGAGGGCGCGGACGGGATCGCAGCGGCGGCGGGCTGTAGTGAATGATTGACATTAGCTGGCTTTGGCTAGTCTCTAAGCTAACGCCTACGTGCCTGTATTGAATATGATTACGCATCGCTCCGGTAGAGTTATTGTAAGCCAATTTGACATTACACAGTTTACACAAAACTTGTCCGTTTCCTTCTAGTTCAAAATAATCCCACACCTTACTGGTCTTTCGCGTGGTCACTTTTGAGTTCGCCACAACTGACACGAAGAAAACTCATGCGAGGTCTGAGGTAAAAATGTAGGCTAGTTTACGCCCAGATACACTTTTTAAAAATAATTATTTTTCACATTTTTTATTTTAACTTATGTAAAATGTTTTAAATGTAACAATGGTAATTTGATGGTAACATAAAATGATGGTAATTTGAATGATAATTATGTTTTTTTTTCTTTTTCTGTTGTGTAATCGACTGTTGTTTTCAGTGTCGACTAGTAGGAAATGTTCCGTTTAGTCGACTAGCACATCCCTAATAAATACACAAACATACAGTATATATTTAGAAAGTATTTACATGTATGTAGATTTATATATTTATATTATTATATTTTATATTATATATAAATATATTTAATATATAAACGTAACATATTTTTCTGAAATATATACATACATGTGTAAAACACACACACACACACACATACAGTGGGGCAAAAAAGTATTCAGTCAGCCACCAATTGTGCAAGTTCTCCCACTTAAAAAGATGAGAGAGGCCTGTAATTTTCATCATAGGTATACCTCAACTATGAGAGACAAAATGAG